TTTTCCTCCAAGCAAAGTTTGCAAGATATTTTTGGTGTGATGTGCGTTTTGTTTTTTATTTCCCAGATATACTTAGAAAGCATAGTACTGTTCGCATATTTACTATTTGTGAACGATGTTTTGTGTGTATAATTTCTTTGCTTCCATGGTCCTTCAGTTAATCCTATGTATACTTTTTCTTCATTATCTGGTGATTTTATCGTGGCTTGGTATATTACGTTGTTTTGTAAACAATTTCCGTTTAAGGGACATTCGTTCTTTATTCTGCAGTTGCAAGTGGGTTTAATTTGTTCGTGTGGTTTGTTGATAATTTTCCTATTGTGCTTTTTTATTATTTGTGCCATGTTCTCGGTGCAGCTGTAGCTGATTTTTACTGTGTTTTTGTTGAATATCTTGTGTAAGGTGCTTGATTCTGGGAAGTGTTTGTGTAAGAGTTTGAAGAATATTTTTCCTACGTTTGTTTTTACGTTCTTGCTGTACGATGGGTTGAACCGTATGATATTTCTTCTCCTGTTGGTCTTTTTTGTATTCTCTGGTGAGTATGTGAGTATTGCTGGGAATCCGCTATCTTTTAGGGCCGTTTCATTGTCTTTCTTAGCTTTGTTAAATAGGGATTCATTGGAGGAATTGTATATAATCTATTAGCAAATTCATATATATATATATATATATATATATATATATATATATATATATATATATATATATATACTATTAGCAAATTCACATGTACATATATAATCTATTAGCAAATTCTTATATATATATATATATATACTATTAGCAAATTCACATGTACGTATATAATCTATTAACAAATTCATATATATATACTATTAGCAAATTCACATGTACATATATAATCTATTAACTAATTCATATATATATATATATATATATACCATTAGAAAATTCTCATAATCTATTAACAAATTCATATATATATATATACCATTAGAAAATTCACATGTACATATATAATCTATTAAAAAATATATATATATATATATATATATATATATATATATATATATATATATATATATTTAATGAACAACAGACACTTTAAGGTACCATTACAATAATTTATTTCACCAAAATTCTTTTTAAAGGATTTTGGATCATCAGGTAACCCTTCCAACAATGAAATGAGAGGAAAAATGTGATTAGAAATTGATGGGTAGTGTAAATTTTGTAATTAAACGGGGAGGGTGAAGGTGGCGGTTAAAGCGACAATAAAAAATATAGTGAGGGTTAAATTTACATCTCTCTTAAATAAGCCTTAAATTGGGGTAGGAGGAGTGACCTAACCTTGACCTATTTATGTGGTAAAAGAAAAAGGAAGTGATATATAGAAATAGTGAGGAAAGGAAATAAAGTAAAGGGAAAAAGAAAGAAAAAAGTGGAAAAAAAGCAGACGTATCCAAAAGAGTTTTATTGCAAAGAGGGGAGGGGAGAGGGAAGAATCGAACGGGGAAAAAAGGGGAAAAAGGCCCAGACGTATTCAAAAAAAGGTTTTATGGCAAAGAGAGAGGGGGGGGAAAGTGAATCGAAAGATATATATATATATATATATATATATATATATGTGTGTGTGTGTGTGTGTGTATATAAAATCTATTAGAAAATTCAATTAAATCTATAGGTTTAAAATTAAAAAAACATAATCGTAATCTAAGCAATCTTTTAAAAAATCAACAACAAAAGAAAAAAAAAAAAAAAAAAACACCCAAATTCTCTTGGTAGAACATCAATTAGTGTGAATTTTAGCAGAAAGTAATAAAACAATTGATCCAAATAGAAATGGCTTTGTAACCAGACAAAAATCCTCCAATACAACCTAACACGACACCAAAAACTTGACGTCTAATAAACATTCATACTTTCATCAAATCAGAGACTACTTGATAATGAAAAACAAGCCCACATTACATTTCGAAACTATAAATGAGTAAAATATTTCTTCGTTTAGTTATTTTCAACTTCAATTGAGAATGAAACAGTCATCTAAAATTAAGATTTCATATTGAATTTAAACTTTAACACTTGTGAAACAGTTTCGCAAAATGGTAATTTCTATGTCACGATAGGATCAGATTTTTAAAACATAATTATAATTGTATGCTTTACTTCTGTATCGAACAGTGTCTTTTAAAAGTAAAAACATAAATACTAAAAAACTTTGGATCATCAATCTAACTGTTCGTCTCTATTACATCAATACATATACACAAACACCTCTATTATGAAAAAATGCATTTACTTAAATATGTGTATCTATAAAAAGAATGTATAAACATAAAATATCTTAAAATAATTGGCGGACTTTGTCCATTTCGTAATGTGTGACGTGATTTGTTTACATTTGGATACGCCATTAGCAGATATGAATGTACGTGAAAGAATCATGGAAGATTGAAGTTTAAAAACAGTAAAATCGACCTTGTTAACCGAACGATCCTATGTGGCTCAATCAGTTAAGGCACGTCAGGCTATATGACGGTTCTGTATGGGATACAAGTTCGATTCCTGTCGGAGGAAGAATATTTTCTATGAAAATTTATCGGATATTCAGGCCGGTAAATGTTATTATTACTGTTTATTATAAACAGAGCATTTACTTAAATATTTGTATGCATAAACATAAAAATATCTTTTTATCTATATATTATATTTTTGATTAAAAAAAACAGTTACGATTGAAAAGAACCGACAAGATCTGTTTAATTTTATTATTCGAAAAATGCAATAAAATAATTAAACAGACATTGTTCATTATTTTTAATCGAACTATTTCCTCAGGTTTGAATCCTACTACCCAGAGAAAACGAATTATTCAACGATGAAATAATTGTGCGGGGAAAGCGACCCATCATCCCATGCACACGCGTGAGCGCCTTTCTGTTTTTACCACGTAATTTCAAAATTACCTTTACTTTCGGATTTATTCTCGTGTACACACACAAACACACACATATAATTTTTAGCACCTATCTGAGCTTTACTATCAACAACAATCTATCGCGTGATATGGGATTTTGGCAAACACATCGCCACAGCAATAGCAGTGATCGTCTATATTGAATAAGAGTGTACGGAACAATAGTGAGCTGATCTTGCACGCCAAACTGAAGCCATGTGTCGTTAGTACATTGCTTTAAGTTAGCGGAACCTGGACAACATTCACCAAGAAAGAAAGATGCCAGGAAAACTATCACAGTAGACTACGCCATATCAACCGTATCACAAGGAGAAACAAAGTTACCAACACTTTTGTTATTTTACTGGAGCAAGAAGACTCATTGACCATGTATCATTTCCATTGCCAACGTCATCTTCGATGGCTTCGTCCGTACATCGTTTGAATGCTGGCCGTATACCAAAAGACAATGTATTGTTTGATGGGCACGAGACACCGTAGGTAGGCCAGCCACACTACGTTTCAAAGACGTTTGCAAGAGGGATCTGTAAAACATAGGCATCGACTCTGGCACCTAAGAACAGCTGGACGCTTCACGAAGGACGGGAAAAGACGAAATTAACTGTTAAAGAAGAGAATGAAGGAAGCAGATGGGGAGAGAGAGAACAATGGCAGACCCTATTCCACATTCCAGAAGCATCTGTCACAACCGCGGAAATAGTGTCATGCAACGATTGGTCTCTTAAGCTACTACAAAGGCTGCTCGCAAAAAGAAAATGTTTGACCCAAAGGAAGACTACCATTACCTCGCAAGATATATTAAAGACAACTGTTACTCAGTTATATTTCCAGGCGTGGTACACCCTTAGACGATCATGTATCTTTCGATATATGACTGACGAGGCATTTTTTTTTACCGCAACGTGTTTCAATTTCTTTCTGCGGTAGACCAGTTGCTATCCAAGGCTATAGAACCTGCGACCCTCTATTTACCCATAGCTGGGGGAGAAAAAAAAAAGGGTTCATATCTTTCCCAAGGGTATCAGCACGTAAGTGAATGTAATGGTTTCGACTGGAATTCGAACTCGGCTCTTCGATACTTCAATCCTAGCCACTATCTACTGTTACTACTATTACTATATATGTCATGTTTGTGTATTCCAGATAAGGACACACTTACACAGCTTTACCCTAATGGGATTACCAATCCTCTTCCATCGTTTCTGCATACAATTTATAAATATGAAGTAGATATTTTTATCTACCATTTTTCCTTCTTTCGGTAACTGATATTCTTCAAACTTCAAATGTCTCAGTAGACTCTAATAGGGAGAACTTCAGAATTATCAGACATCATCGATCCAATGTTTCCAGGAGAGTATATTTTATTTTTATCTAGTCTACGCTAAAATGAGGAATTACATGCAAAGACCTCAAGTAACATTAAGCTTAACAGAGAACATCAAATAAGATAGCAGAGAGCCGATCGGATTGATCACAACTTAGAAGACCGACATTTCACCTGCTTTTATTTCTTTAAGCTGCGCTAACCGGATACTCTATCAAGGTGACCTCGTTTGTGACCGGGTGAAAAGAATTAGGTTTCTAAATCCTTTCTCTGATTTAACCGGTAGGGAATCATTTTCTAGATACGTTTCATGTTTTGTTCTTTCGTTTTTATATGAAATTCATTACTTTCTTCTTTTGTTTTTCCCCCATTATCTTTCTTTCTATAGCTTTCTTTAACTTTACTTATTTCTTTTACTTTCTTTCCATATCATTCTTTTTCATTACTTTCTTTTTATCTTTCTTTGTTTTTTTTTTTATTTCTACAGCTTTCTTTTCATTTACTTTTTCTTTTACTTTCTTTTCTGTTATCTTTTACTTTCTTTCTATAGCTGTCATTTGCCTTCTATTTATAATTCTTTTCCTTTACTTTTTTTATTTTCTTCTTTCTTTTACTTTCTATAACTTTCTTTTCCTTTACTTTTTTACTTCCTGATGCTTTCTTTTCTTTGGCTTTCTTTCCTTCTTTTATTTTTGTTTTGTGTTAACGTTTATTTTGTCCTTCTTTCTATTCATGTTGTGTTTTTATCTTTCGTTGCTTCCTGCCTTTTTGTTTCTATTACTTTGTCTTGTTCTTCATTCATTCGTTTTTTTCTTCTTCTCTTTCATTCTTCGTTTTAATGTAATTTTTTTCTGATTATTTTTTTTAATTTTCCATCTTTTTTCATTTTATTATTCCGTTCTTTTATTCCTTTATTTTCCCTTTTAGTTGTTACTTCTATCTTGCATTGTTTCTTTTTTTTTCTTTTTCACATCGATTATTCGTTTAGAATTCTCTTTCTATCAGTTGTTCATTAACAAAAGCTGTTGCGCTTACTGTTGTATTTTTCTGTGATTATATATTTTTGGCGATATCTCTTCTGCTTTTAACAGAAATTTTATTTTTTTTCCATCCCCAATCCTTACATCTGTAACGTCTTCCTTCCGTTTTACAAGAAAAAAGCGGAAGTGAATAAAAAAAAATTAATGGAGATAAGACGTGGTTCAGATTAGTAAAAGTGTTTTATTTCCCGTGATGTATAACGTTCGATCATTTGCTCATTCCGGAGAATTGTATATCACTCGTAAAATGCTGAGATATAACACGAGTTAGTAGTGATAACAGAGCGGCCTTGGTGTCAGTGAGTAGCCGTTTAGTTTGCTTACTTGCAGTGGGAGTCTTTCGCTAACGCTGGCCGTGCCGGATATGTTTTCCCGAGTGAAATCTGCTGCTGTTGCGAAAACCTCGCCAGATTTTTCTGATAGGTTAGAATAATGACTTAACACCCTGTTATTTTGGGACTGTATTTTGAAAGTGGGCGCACGGAATTATGGTCAGTTTTTTCTTTTTTCTTTTTATTCTATGAGCTGTGAATGTCGAAGATGTTTTTGAGTTAAAGAATTAGATTTCCGGCAGGATACAACTTTTTACGGACACCGACTCGTTCATACATAATTATTGTTTAAAAGAATACACTCTAATAAAATATTTCATGCCTTAAAAAGAATTATCTGAAGGCTATAGGAATCAGTTACTTTGCGTTGAGACTGTCATAAAAGAATCCACAGTATTTTAATTAAACCTATCCCTTGTCAACAAATTATACGAATGCCGATCAAGAAAAAGTTACATATTTTTATCCGTATTTCACCATCTCTTTCCATTATCTTTGTGCTGCAAGGTGTTTTGTATCCTGTCCTGCACTAAATTGCATATGGATTTCACTCAGCTATGTTAGATGTTATTAGACTTTACAGAAAACATAACAGTAATATTTCTCAGTTTTCTGACATTTTAACAGACATAGGAAATAATTCTGTACTACAAAATAAGGAATTTCTGCTGGGTTGATATTACGAATTTAAAGAATACTTAGGTTTTTGTTATTGCATGAATTTACTGATTGCAATGTAGGACTGAATGTCGCAATAGTTTTAGAATTAACATTATTTGGTATCGTTGAAAAAACTACAGATGAACATATCTTGTGTGACCTTTAAACCAAGGTCATACGTATGGATGACAAATTAATACAGAAACATTAAGACATTTGATCACAAATCTCAAATATATAAATCATTTATATATTGCAGCAGAGCTGGCTCTTAAATTATACAATGAAATTTAAATATTGTATCTATCAAACTCAATATCTTAAAACTGATCACATCTATCTCTGTATTTATTTCTGCATCTATTTTTTATTATATTCATTGTCTATCTCAGCTAGTTGATATCTATCTATGTCGGTGTTTGGTTTTTCATATCTATCTATGTCGGTGTTTTTTCTTTTTTTTCATATCTGTCTATTGAGGTTTCTTTTTTTTTTCATATCTATCTATCTATCTATCTCTGGTTTTTTTTTTCCATATCTATCTATCTCGGGTTTTTTTTTCCATATCTATCTATCTATCTCGGGGTTTTTTTTCCATATCTATCTATCTATCTATCTCGGGGTTTTTTTTCCATATCTATCTATCTATCTCGGGTTTTTTTTCCATATCTGTCTATCTATCTATCTAACTATCTCGGGTTTTTTTTCCATATCTATCTATCTATCTATCTATCTCGGTTTTTTTTTTCCATATCTATCTATCTATCTATCTATCTACCTCGGTTTTTGTTTTCCATATCTATCTATCTATCTATCTATCTACCTCGGGTTTTTGTTTTTCCATATCTATCTATCTATCTATCTATCTACCTCGGGTTTTTGTTTTTCCATATCTATCTATCTATCTATCTATCTACCTCGGGTTTTTGTTTTTCCATATCTATCTATCTATCTATCTATCTACCTCGGTTTTTTGTTTTTCCATATCCATCTATCTATCTATCTATCTATCTATCTATCTACCTCGGGTTTTTGTTTTTCCATATCTATCTATCTATCTATCTATCTATCTATCTACCTCGGGTTTTTGTTTTTCCATATCTATCTATCTATCTATCTATCTATCTATCTATCTACCTCGGGTTTTTGTTTTTCCAGATCTATCTATCTATCTATCTATCTATCTATCTCGGGTTTTTGTTTTTCCAGATCTATCTATCTATCTATCTCGGGTTTTTGTTTTTCAAGATCTATCTATCTATCTATCTATCTCGGGTTTTTTTTCCATATCTGTCTATCTATCTATCTCGGGGTTTTTTTTCCATATCTATCTATCTATCTATCTAGGGTTTTTTTTCCATATCTAGCTATCTATCTGTATATCTCAGATTTTTTTTCCATATCTACCTATCTATCTCGGGTTTTTTTTCCCATATCTATCTATCTATCTATCTATCTCGGGTTTTTATTTTCCATATCTATCTCGGGTTTTTTTTTCCATATCTATCTATCTATCTATCTCGGGTTTTTTTTCCATATCTATTTATCTATCTATCTATCTCGGGTTTTTTTTTTCCATATCTATCTATCTATCTATCTATCTATCTATCTCGGGTTTCTTTTTTCATATCTATCTATCAATCTCGAGTTTTTTTTTTCCATATCTATCTATCTATCTATCTATCTATCTATCCCGGGTTTTTTTTCCATATCAATCTATCTATCTATCTATCCCGGGGTTTTTTTCCATATCAATCTATCTATCTATCTATCTATGTATCCCGGGTTTTTTTTTCCATATCAATCTATCTTTCTATCTATCTATCTCGGTTTCTTTTTCATATCTATCTATCTATCTATCTATCTCGGGTTCTTTTTTTATCTATCTATCTATCTATCTCGGTTTCTTTTTTCATATCTATCTATCTATCTCCGGGTTTCTTTTTCATATCTATCTATCTATCTATCTTTTTCATATCTTTCTTTTTCATATCTATCTATCCCAGGTTTCTTTTTTTTATCTATCTATCTATCTCAGGTTTTCTTTTCTTTTCTATCTATCCATATCTATCTATCTATCTATCTCGGGTTTCTTTTTCATATCTATCTATCTATCTATCTATCTCGGGTTTCTTTTTTTCATATCTATCTATCTCCATCTATCTTTTTCGGGGTTTCTTCCATCTATCTATCTATCTATCTATCTATCTCGGGTTTCTTTTTCATATCTATCTATCTATCTATCTATCTCAGGTTTCTTTTTTCATATCTATCTATCTATCCATCTATCTCAGGTTTCTTTTTCATATCCATCTATCCATCTATCTATCTCGGGTTTCTTTTTTCACATCTATCTATCCATCTATCTATCTATCTCAGGTTTCTTTTTCATATCTATCTATCTATCTATCTATCTATCTATCTATCTCGGGTTTCTTTTTTCATATCTATCTATCTATCTATCTATCTATCTCGGGTTTCTTTTTTCATATCTATCTATCTATCTATCTATCTATCTCGGGTTTCTTTTTCACATCTATCTATCCATCTATCTATCTATCTCGGGTTTCTTTTTTCATCTATCTATCTATCTATCTATCTATCTCGGGTTTCTTTTTTCCACATCCATCTATCTATCCATCTATCTATCTCGGGTTTCTTTTTCATATCTATCTATCTATCCATCTATCTATCCGGGTTTCTTTTTTTCACATCCATCTATCTATCTATCTATCTATCTGGTTTCTTTTTCATCTATCTATCTATCTATCTCCGGTTTCTTTTTTCATATCTATCTATCTATCTCGGTTTCTTTTTCATATCTATCTATCTATCTCGGGTTTCTTTTTTCATATCTATCTATCTATCTCGGGTTTCTTTTTTCATATCTATCTATCTATCTCGGGTTTCTTTTTTCATATCTATCTATCTATCTCGGGTTTCTTTTTTCATATCTATCTATCTATCTCGGGTTTCTTTTTTCATATCTATCTATCTATCTCGGGTTTCTTTTTTCATATCTATCTATCTATCTATCTATCTATCTATCTCGGGTTTCTTTTTTCATATCTATCTATCTATCTATCTATCTATCTCGGGTTTCTTTTTTCATATCTATCTATCTATCTATCTATCTATCTCGGGTTTCTTTTTTCATATCTATCTATCTATCTATCTATCTCGGGTTTCTTTTTTCATATCTATCTATCTATCTATCTGTCTCGGGTTTCTTTTTTCATATCTATCTATCTATCTATCTCGGATTTCTTTTTTCATATCTATCTATCTATCTATCTCAGGTTTTTTTTTCATATCTATCTATCTATCTATCTATCTCGGTTTTTTTTTTTTTTATATCTATCTATCTATCTATCTCGTTTTTTTTTTTTATTATCTATCTATCTATCGGTTTTTTTTTTTTTCATATCTATCTATCTATCTTCGGTTTTTTTTTTCATATCTATCTATCTATCTATCTCGGTTTTTTTTCATATCTATCTATCTATCTATCTCGGTTTTTTTTTCATATCTATCTATCTATCTATCTCGGTTTTTTTTTTTTTCATATCTATCTATCTATCTATCTCGGTTTTTTTTTTCATATCTATCTATCTATCTATCTCGGGTTTTTTTTTTCATATCTATCTATCTATCTATCTCGGGTTTTTTTTTTTCATCTATCCATCTATCTATCTATCTATCTATCTAGGGTTTTTTTTCCATATCTATCTATCTATCTATCTCGGGTTTTTTTTTCCATATCTATCTATCTATCTATCTCGGGTTTTTTTTTCCATATCTATTTATCTATCTATCTCGGGTTTTTTTTTTCCATATCTATCTATCTATCTAGGGTTTTTTTTCCATATCTATCAATCTAGTGTTTTTTTTTCCATATCTATCTATCCATCTATCTCTCTATCTATCTATCTAGGGTCTCTTTTTCCATATCTATCTATCTATCTATCTATCTATCTATCTATCTCGGGTCTCTTTTTTCATATCTATCTATCTATCTATCAAGGGTCTCTTTTTTCATATCTATCTATCTATCTATCTCGGGTCTCTTTTTTCATATCTATCTATCTATCTCGGGTTTCTATTTTCATATCTATCTATCTATCTCGGGTGTCTTTTTTCATATCTATCTATCTATCTCGGGTGTCTTTTTTTCATATCTATCTATCTATCTCGGGGTTTTTTTTTCATATCTATCTATCTATCTATCTATCTCGGGTTTCTTTTTTCATATCTATCTATCTATCTATCTATCTCGGGTTTCTTTTTTCATATCTATCTATCTATCTATCTCGGGTTTCTTTTTTCATATCTATCTATCTATCTATCTCGGGTTTCTTTTTTCATATCTATCTATCTATCTATCTATCTCGGGTTTCTTTTTTCATATCTATCTATCTATCTCGGGTTTCTTTTTTCATATCTATCTATCTATCTATCTATCTATCTATCTATCTCGGGTTTCTTTTTTCATATCTATCTATCTATCTATCTCGGGTTTTTTTTCCATATCTGTCTATCTATCTATCTCGGGTTTTTTTTTCCATATCTATCTATCTATCTATCTCGGGGTTTTTTTTCCATATCTATCTATCTATCTATCTCGGGTTTTTTTTTCCATATCTATCTATCTATCTATCTCGGGGTTTTTTTTCCATATCTATCTATCTATCTATCTCGGGTTTTTTTTTCCATATCTATCTATCTATCTATCTATCTCGGGTTTTTTTTTCCATATCTATCTATCTACCTATCTCGGGGTTTTTTTTCCATATCTATCTATCTATCTATCTCGGGTTTTTTTTTTCCCTATCTATCTATCTAGGGTTTTTTTTCCATATCTCTCTATCTATCTGTATATCTCGGATTTTTTTTCCATATCTATCTATCTATCTATATTTCTCGAGTTTTTTTTTTCCATATCTATCTATCTATCTATCTATCTATCTCGGGGTTTTTTTTTCCATATCTATCTATCTATCTATCTCGGGTTTTTTTTTTCCATATCTATCTATCTATCTATCTATCTATCTATCTCGGGGTTTTTTTTTTCCATATCTATCTATCTATCTATCTCGGTCTTTTTTTTCCATATCTATCTATCTATCTATCTAGGGTTTTTTTTTCCATATCTATCTATCTATCTATCTATCTCGGGTTTTTTTTCCATATCTATCTATCTATCTATCTCGGGTTTTTTTTTCCATATCTATCTATCTAGGGTTTTTTTTTTCCATATCTATCTATCTATCTATCTATCTCGGGTTTTTTTTTTCCATATCTATCTATCTGTCTATCTCGGGGTTTTTTTTTCCATATTTATCTATCTATCTATCTATCTCGGGTTTTTTTCCATATCTATTTATCTATCTATCTATCTCGGGTTTTTTTTCCATATCTATCTATCTCGGGTTTTTTTTTCCATATCTATCTATCTATCTATCTCGGGTTTTTTTTTTCCATATTTATCTATCTATCTATCTATCTATCTATCTCGGGTTTTTTTTTTCCATATCTATCTATCTATCTATCTATCTCGGTTTTTTTTTTTCCATATCTATCTATCTATCTATCTTGGGTTTTTTTTTTCCATATCTATCTATCTATCTATCTCGGGTTTTTTTTTCCATATCTATCTATCTATCTATCTCGGGGTTTTTTTTTCCATATCTATCTATCTATCTATCTCGGTTTTTTTTTTCCATATTTATCTATCTATCTATCTATCTATCTCGGGTTTTTTTTCCATATCTATCTATCTATCTATCTATCTCGGTTTTTTTTTTCCATATCTATCTATCTATCTATCTATCTCGGGTTTTTTTTCCATATCTATCTATCTATCTATCTCGGTTTTTTTTTTTCCATATCTATCTATCTATCTATCTCGTTTTTTTTTTCCATATCTATCTATCTATCTATCTATCTATCTAGGGTTTTTTTTTTATCTATCTATCTATCTATCTATCTATCTATCTCGGTTTTTTTTTTCCATATCTATCTATCTGTCTCGGGTTTTTTTTTCCATATCTATCTATCTATCTATCTATCTATCTATCTCGGGTTTTTTTTTCCATATCTATCTATCTGTCTCGGGTTTTTTTTTCCATATCTATCTATCTATCTATCTATCTATCTATCTCGGGTTTTTTTTTCCATATCTATCTATCTATCTATCTATCTATCTATCTATCTATCTATCTCTTTTTTTCATATCTATCTATCTATCTATCTATCTCGGGTTTTTTTTTCCATATCTATCTATCTATCTGTCTATCTCGGGTTTTTTTTCCATATCTATCTATCTATCTATCTATCTATCTCGGTTTTTTTTTCCATATCTATCTATCTATCTATCTATCTATCTATCTATTTTTCCATATTTTTCTATCTATCTCGGGTTTTTTTTCCATATCTATCTATCTATCTATCTATCTATCTCGGGTTTTTTTTTTCCATATCTATCTATCTATATCTATCTATTATTCCTTATCTCTTTTTCATATCTATCTATCTATCTATCTATCTCTTTTTCACATCTATCTATCTATCTATCTATCTATCTATCTGGGTTTTTTTTCATATCTATCTATCTATCTATCTATCTGGGTTTTTTTTTTTCCATATCTATCTATCTATCTATCTATCTATCGGTTTTTTTTTCCATATCTATCTATCTATCTATCTATCTCGTTTTTTTTTTCCATATCTATCTATCTATCCATCTATCCGGTCTCTTTTTTTATCCATCTATCTATCTCATCTATCTATCTATCTATCTCGGCTCTTTTTTCACATCCATCTATCCATCTATCTATCTCGTGTCTTTTTCCACATCTATCTATCTATCTCGGTCTCTATCTATCTATCTATCTATCTATCTATCTCGGCTCTCTTTTTTCATATCTATCTATCTATCTATCTATCTCGTGTCTCTTTTTCCATATCTATCTATCTATGTATCTATCTATCTATCTATCTATCTATCTATCTCGGGTCTCTTTTTTTTCATCTATCCATCTATCTATCTATCTATCTATCTCAGGTCTCTTTTTCATATCTATCTATCTATCTATCTATCTATCTCTGGTGTCTCTTTTTCCATCTATCTATCTATCTATCTATCATATTTTTCATATCATCTATCTATCTATCTATCTATCTCGGGTCTCTTTTTTCATATCTATCTATCTATCTATCTATCTATCTCGGGTCTCTTTTTTCATATCTATCTATCTATCTATCTATCTATCTCGGGTCTCTTTTTTCATATCTATCTATCTATCTATCTATCTATCTCGGGTCTCTTTTTTCATATCTATCTATCTATCTATCTATCTATCTCGGTCTCTTTTTTCATATCCATCTATCTATCTATCTATCTATCTCAGGTCTCTTTTTCACATCTATCCATCTATCTATCCATCCATCTATCTCGGGTCTCTTTTTCACATCCATCTATCCATCTATCTATCTATCTCAGGTCTCTTTTTTCATATCTATCTATCTATCTATCCATCTATCTCGGTCTCTTTTTTCATATCTATCTATCTATCTATCTATCTCGGGTCTCTTTTTTCATATCTATCTATCTATCTATCTATCTCGGGTCTCTTTTTTCATATCTATCTATCTATCTATCTATCTCGGGTCTCTTTTTTCATATCTATCTATCTATCTATCTATCTCGGGGTCTTTTTCATATCTATCTATCTATCCATCTATCCTGGGTCTCTTTTTATCTATCTATCTATCTATCTATCTATCTTTTTTCACATCTATCTATCTATCTATCTCGGTCTCTTTTTTCATATCTATCTATCTATCTATCTCGGGTTTCTTTTTTCATATCTATCTATCTATTTATTTATCTATCTATCTATCTATGGTTTCTTTTTTCCACATCTATCTATCTCGGGTTTTTTTTCCATATCTATCTATCTAGCTCGGGGTTTTTTTTTTTGCATATCTATCTATCTCGTTTTTTTCTCTATATCTATCTAGGGTTTTTTTTTCCCATATCTATCTCGGTTTTTTTTTTATATATATATCTAGGTTTTTTTTCCCCATATCTATCTATCTATCTATCTCGGGTTTTTTTTCCATATCTATCTATCTATCTATCTCGGGGGGGTTTCATATCTATATTTTTTTTTCATATGTATCTCAGTATTTTTCATATATATCTGACTATTCGATACCGTAGTTTATAATGTGTGCTAAACTCACACCTGACCTATGTTTAACAGATCAATGAAGAAAAACCGTATTGTAAAATCCAGTACTTCCAAAACAAGTTTAGTAACATTTCATAATCATCAAAGTGACCCTGACTGTACCCGTCTCTTTTACTCCCAAAACTTCATGTCTCGCACCTTTCGCCTATGGAACTCCCTCACTTTTTCATGTTTCCCTGATAGCTATAATCTCCAACTATTCAAATGTAATGTCAATCGACGTCTCCAGATGCCTTGATCTATCCCTTATCCTTCTCTTCATACTTTCCTTCATCACTCCTCTTTGCTCTCCCCCTAACTCTCTGTAACCTTGCGAGCTAGTGGCTTCCCGCCTTGCTTTGGGTGAAACGATTATATATATATATATATATATATATATATAACCTTTGACTTCTCAACAGTAATTCTGTTCACACTTTACATTATTCGGACTATTGTCCTCATCTTTGTCGCCATGTTTATCACGGCGTCTCGGCTGTTGTACTCTCCGGCCTTCTTCAGTCGGTTGGAATGTCGAATTGAAACCTTTATTTCGCTCACTGGAGTAGACTGTTCTAGTTCCATGTGCCATGTCTAATGGATGCCAGTTCTCCACTGTCTTAATCAGGTATTGAACTCACACTTTTTGGGTCCTGTCACTGGATCTAACTAACGCCTTTATCCACTCTGCCATGTGTCCTTGGGGACATAATAACTCATCTCAGAAATATAGACAGTAATTCTCTTATATCTATATTCTTATTACATATCTACAATATACTTTTGTACCCAATTATGTTTACTTAGATTTTGGAATCTCCCACTTTACTTTTGTTAATTAATTTCATGTTGGAAAAAATAATCTTACATAGAAGAAAGCACATCTCAGTATAATTTAATTTACAAAATCTACACCCACCAAGAACCGATAAGGAGAATGTCATTTTACCAGCTGAGATCAAAATCCAGCTAATGACCTCTCAAACTTGTGGATTTCTATCCTTATGGAGTAACATAGTCAATCATGTATCTTAGTAGTTACGTTTAATTGGCAGCATATAAAGAAATTAACATTCTTGAGGCTTCAAAGTTCATTGCCCTCAGCGACGATATAAATATAGAAGGTGGTGTGACGATGTTGTTATCACAACCCAACAACCAAAATCTGTCAGGGCCAGAGCTTTTCAATGCTTACTTTTCTTACATGTACACAAGATCATCTAACCTTTGTCGTATTTGATTTTATCCCTGACAGGGATTTAATAAATCATTTGCTAAATCATTTAGCTTTTAGTATCTTACGAGTTGGTAATAACTAACCAAGCCTCAAAAGTCACATCAAAATGGTCTAATTGTGCTATAATTGACAGGACAGTGACATACTACACGCTAACCCTCCGACCGGGGAAACAAGGCTAATTGGGTTCCTGGACAGTGATTTGTGACCTTCGCTATCTTATCAACATTTACTTTTCTAGAAATATTTATACTCGTTACAAAATAAGTAAGTTGATGTTAAAAATTGCCACAAAGCTTTGTTGATTTATTTAAAATGGAATGATATGTTATGGTGTGTCTCTAATTCCTATTTAGATTACATTATATTTACTTTCAATTTTTCTAGTTGAATGTTACGCATATATTGCTTCCGATTCATTATTGTACCTAATTAGATTGTAATAAGATGTATATTTATATGAATACTACATTATGAAAATTGAGATGCAGTCGAGTGTTCGAGGCGTATCATAGATTCGGGGTGGGGGCATGAGGCACTTGCCCTGATAATTGGACACAGCTTTGCATATTATTCGCTGTTGGGATTTATCCCACTCACCTTAGTTTAACACAAGGTCATGATTTTGTCAACATAAAACAACAAATACAATAATAATAATTGCAACATTAGTAGTAGCAGTAGTAGTAATAATGTTAACGATAATAATATTGTACTGATAATTGTAGTAGTATGATCACCGAGCATTATCATCTTAAAAATCATGTTAAAATCTCAGTTCTCGTCCGATCGCCTAGTTAAGCAACGTTGAGCCTGGTCAGTGATGGGTGATCGCTTTGGAATAATAATAACAATTATAATAATGAAGATGATAAAAAAAAGCTGATTCAAAATTACACTCCCTCATCATCTAATATACTATTTACTGAGAATTGCCGGCTACTCATTTTCCGATGATGCCTGTTTCATATGTCCTGGATAATCACTTTTGAAGACACCTGCCCAGTTACATTTGTGTTTCTTCATTATCCAAAGAGCCAGCATGTGGTTTATCCTGCAATTATGATGGGCTAAATTAGGTAAAATTTCTCCTGGGAAAGAATGCATAATATGGCGTGATCAGTATTTGAACGAGGTCAGTGCCCTCCAAATGTCAAACATGACAACTTGGAAATTCATTTAAAATTTCTATCAACCCAGTTTCATAGGGGTTTTGGCACATCCAAAAGATGTTGCATAATGCGATCGCCTTGAAAAATCGATTATTTTAAGGTTAAAAGGTTAGAATACTAACGTTCTAATTACTCGGATTTCCTATCGGCCATGAGATTTTGGTGGCATGATATTGACCTCATAAAAAGTAGTAACAGTGAGCTCCAGGACTTGACCAACAATCTTTCTGAAAGAGCAGGAACATATGGAACTGAGGTCATCTCCAAGAAAACCAAAGTAAATGTTGAATAACACAAACACCTGTGGCAACATTACCATGAATAGTAATTCAATGGAGGAACTGTCCAGTTTTAAATACTTAGAAGCAATCTTGCCTAAAGTAGGTACCTGCAACTCGGAAATCTGCGAACAGATTGCCGCAGCCAAAGCATCGATGGCCAAACAGACAAGCATATGGAGGAGAAAAATCAGCTTTCAATCAAAGTACAGACTGTACAAATCGTTGGTAGTCTCTATTCTCCTATATGGACATGGAACGTGGACACTTTTGGCAGATACAGAGAAAAGGACCCATGCGTTTGAAAACAATTGCATTAGAAAACTCATTGGCATTTTCTATTGGGAACAAGAAACTAATGAGTTTGTGCGGAAAAGGGTTGAAAGTTTTCTGGGACACCAGGCAACTCTCGCTCCCCACCACACTATTGAACGGAGAAAAAACGCGTGGTTTGGACACATTACAAGACATGACAGCCTGTGCAAGACCATCATGCAAGGCACCATTGAAGGTGGACGTAAGAGATGATGCCGACGTAAAAACTGGTTGAACAATGTCAAAAAAATGGACATGTGCGACTGTACCAGAATTGCTGATGGGTGATAGACCGTTGTGGAAAAAAGTTAGTGTGGCTTCTGTATTCGGATCCGCCATATAATTACCAAATGCAAAGGAATGATGATGAGTATGGGGAATTCGACTATTTTAAGACTTAAATTTTGTTTTCTTGATATGCATTGCATGAATGCTGTATTAACTTCAAAATTACTGTATTACAGTTAACATTCTTATTTACGCTTTTTTATGATCTGTTATATATATATATATATATATATATATATATATATATATATATGTATATATATATATTTGAAACCTGCACGTTGCTTATTTTATAGCTAATGCTTCTTTTTAATGTTACATTTATTTTTAAATTTCCCATTTTAAAATCTCGCTCATATAATTGTATAATTATTTGCATTAATAATATTTTATGTAATATCAAATCGTATTTGCGGATCGACATGGATGGTTATTATAACGTCTAGATTCTTCGCATAAACAAATATATTTAACTATTATTTTCCAAAATTTTCCATCGAAAATGTTTTAAATTTTGGCAGTTTATAATTATACGCTAAAGTCGTCTTTGGAATTATTTCAGACAAACCGGCACTCATTTAAATTAAAGATCCGGGAAAATCTTCCGTTCACTGTAATTGCTTTCATACACATGCATATATTCCTATGCCTACGCAGTTTATATTGGTATATCGAATACCAATCTGAAAATAAAGCATATACCTCTCTCAATTAATGTTACACATGCAAGACGTGTGCGTAAAAATTGTCACCCATGGTTCTGGAGCACCAGAAAGACGCTTTTAATTATAGTAATACATTCTTATTAATTCCGCATCGATAGAATAATTTTTATTGACGAAGTAATTTTAAACCACCCGAAGAATAAAAAATGTTACACATACATACACATGAGTAGATAAAGTTCATCGAAACTTTTTTCTGAAGGATTTTTTTGTTTAAATTTTCTCTATAATTCCGACCATTTTTTTCGTTCCGGTGTAAGCTTAATGAAAGATTGTCCGATGTCTGAGGAAGTTTGGCTTTCGTCAGCCATTATCAATGAAATTGTCATTGAGCTATGTCGATTTTTTTTTTTTTTTTTATTGAGCTATGTTGGTTGCCTCGTTTTCGTCTTCACGCGAGATGTTGTGCTTTTTTAAGTATGGCGTCCACATGTGAAAGTTCATGCTTATATATAAAATATATATAAATATATATATATATATATATAAATATATATATATATATATATATATATATATATATATATATATATATATATATATATATATATATATATATATATATATATATATATATATATATATATATATATTTATATATATATATATATATATATATATATATATATATATTTCCTTTTCATAAAAAATATAAAATAAAAAATAAATAAATCTACATAGTCACGCATACCAGACTAGGGTGAGTACATCTTCCGTTCCAAATTTAGACACCACCACCTTTCCCTGACTTGACATCTATGAAAGTAACTCTATACTGATACTTATTATTAACACCCAACACACGCCTACCCAATTTAAACAATTCGCCCTAGCTGTTACCATGAAAATTTTGATTTCAATTATTAAGACACGTAAATTTCAGAAATACTTTATTCCAAAAATAATTTCGCTTGATGATGGAACAGAGCTTACTTCAACTCAATTTAATTCAAATAATTATAATGAATTTTTCGG